GAGTCAAGGGTTCAATTCCAGTCAAGGAAATGTACCTTGGTTGCGGTTCAGTCCCTGGCCCTGGTCAGGGTCATGTGGGAGGCAAATAATCACTCTCTCTCACAATGATGTTTTTTTCTCTCTCTCTCCCTCACACTCTATCTGAAGATAAATGGAAAAATATCCTCAGGTGAGGATTTAAAATAAGTAAATAACTAACTAAATAAAAGCACTCTGGTTACATAATCATTTTGGTTTAAGCTCACCATTTAATGAACCATCACATCACCACAGGCACTAAAAGTGTTAATGCAACTCAAGATGAGCAAGTTCTGTCAGGGACAAGTTTATCATATGATTGGATAGATTAAAAAAAAATTTTTTTTTTTAATGCAACCCCCCACCCCTTCCCTGCGGCCAGGCCCATGTTTCTTTTTGGATAGATTTTTGTTTCTTTATTTTATCACATTCATTTAAAATATTTAGAAATTAACTTCATCATTTAGTAGTTTAAATTTTTAAAATTTAAATATATTTCAAATTAATAATTTCAATTATATCTGATTCATGTATATCTGACTTCTAAGATGCTTAGTCAAAACATTTTGCCTGGAACAAATATTTGTACTATTTTGGCATTATTATCCATAGTCTCTATAATGATATGTAAGAAAATAGGTCAGCTATTTTAGATAGATAAATGGATAGATAGATATACATCTCTCTCTCTCTCTCTCCATATATATACATATATATATATACATATATATTTATATATATATGTGCAACCCCCCACCCCTGGGTATATATATCTGGGTAAAGATGTCTGACTAAGGTTATAGATGTGTTTGGCAATCTTGTATAAGAACTCAGATCTTTGTAGTCATTGTTCATATTTAAATTGTTTTACCACAAATAGTTTCCTCTATAACATCAAAATGATTAGCCCAATTTAGTAGTTTGTGGATTCAGTTAGATCACACTTCCCCTTTTCTTCACCACACACACAGATATACACACTCAACAGAGCATGGTAATGGAAAGAATGCTGACCAAGGTGTAAGAAGAACCAGAGTTCTAGGCTTGCTTCTGCTCATGTGTGACCTTGGTCATTATCAACTTTTGGGGCCCTGCCTTCCCATTTGTTCCTTCTGATTTCTTAATTCTACTCTGAATCTTGGAACACATCATACCCTTTAGCCCAAATATTAGTCTCAATTAGTATTACAAAGGGTGTCCACTGAAAGTTAATTCACATTTATATTTTTGCTGTTTAACTTTATAAGTAGGCACAGGTGACTATAATTTAAACTGCTGTTAGATATTCAGTTTTTGAGTTTATGCCATTTTGGACTGATGAAAAATTAATATAAGATTTTAAATTTTAACAGTAAAAATAGATTACTTCACATTTTAGGGGACAGGTATTTTCTTATTTGGTCAATTATTATTTGAACTCACTCAAGTAAAATTAATCTAAGGATATCAAGAAAATGTTGACAATATAAATTTTCAAAAATTTATAGTGATATTATAATTTATATTCTCTCATAGCACTATTAAAAATATTTCCATGAACCTAGAAAATGTACAAATACTAAAAAATATAATTAAATATATATTTGAGGATGCACAAAAACTAGATTCAAACATGATGTTTGCTTCAATTAAGTCTCCTGGGATTTCCCTTTCTCTCATTTCAACTGTGGAGGAGCACTATTTCAGGTCAAGAGGGCAGAGGGTATACATCAAACCAAGAATTCTTCAAGGTCCATGAAAACTTAAACCTTCTGCACTCTCTGCAGAATGTGGGAATGCAGGGAAAGAATGTGGACAAAACCAAATTTTCACCCATTGTAAATATAATAGCCTGTGGTGAGCAGCTGATACCATTCTCCCTTGTGTATGCTGTTTTCTCTATTTACGAAGCTTTTTCATATGATTCCATTGATTCTTAGATAATTTCATATAATAATTCCATAAGTGGGCCTATTAGCCTCATTTTACAGGTGAGAAAACAGATGCTTAAAGTGGCTATGTATAGCAAAGGCAAGCTTAGAACCCAGTGTTTTAAAATTTTTATTTCTTCTTAAATATTCTTTCTATCATACCACTCTGGTTTTCAAACAAAATGAAGCTACATTTTAACATTTTAACAGTAAAAACTTAATGATTCAAAAAGGCAGCTTCATGGTGCCCCTCTGTGACAGGAATGGTTTACAGAACAGGATAGAAATGTACATTATAAAAAAATTTGACATTGTCATGAAAATATCCCTTCCAGGAGGGGAGTTTAACCAGTAAGTTAAAAATTAGAAAAATCAGAAGTCATTTTGCAGTCTTAACTCATTATTTCATCTTTAGTTTAACTGATGAAATGTAAAATACAATTTGAATGCTAAATGTACCATAAATCTAACCAATTAACCAGAAAAATCTTTCCAACACGTTTCTTGTATTGGAAACAGGAAAATTTAGAAATTCACTTGGATAAAGAAGCTATTACTAAAAACATTCGATGGTACAATATTCGCAAATCAATAAACGTTATACACCACATAAATAAAATGAAGAATAAAACCACATGATCATATCAATAGATGCCGAAAAAGCCTTCGACAAAATCCAGCATCCATTTCTGAGAAAAACGCTCAGCAATGTGGGAATAGAGGGATGATATCTTGACATAATAAAGGCCATATATGAAAGACCTACAGCCGACATCATACTCAATGGGCAAAAATTAAAAGCATTTCCCTTAAGAACAGAAACAAGGCAAGGATGCCCACTTTCGCCACTCTTAAATATTTAACATTGTACTGGAAGTCTTAGCCGCAGCAATCAGACAGGAAGAAAAAATAAAAGGGATCCAAATTGGAAAGGAGAAGGTGAAACTGTCATTATTCGCAGATGACATGATACTATATGTAGAAAACCCCAAAGACTCCATCAAAAAATTTACTAGACTTAATAAATGAATTTGGCAAAGTAGCAGGATACAAAATTAACGTCAAGAAATCGATGGCATTCTTATACACCAATGATGAACTCACAGAAAGAGAAACTAAGAAAACAATCCCACTTACCATTGCGGCAAAAAAATTAAGATACCTAGGAATAAACTTAACCAAAAAAATAAAGGACCTAATTGCAGAAAACTACAGGTCATTGAAAAAAGAAATAGACGAAGATGTAAAAAAGTGGAAGCACATACCCTGTTCATGGATTGGAAGAATTAACATCATTAAAATGTCCATACTACCCAAAGCAATCTATAGATTCAACGCAATCCCCATCAAAATACCAATGGCATACTTCACAGAATTAGAACAAATACTTCAAAAGCTCATATGGAACCAAAAAAGACCTCGAGTAGCCACAGCAATCTTGAAAAAGAAGAATAAAGTTGGAGGGATCACATTACCAGATTTCAGGTTATACTACAAAGCCACTGAAATCAAAACAGCCTGGTACTGGCACAAGAACAGGCACATAGACCAGTGGAACAGAACAGAGAATCCAGAAATGGACCTAAGGCAATATGCTCAATTAATATTTGACAAAGGTGGCAAGAGCCTACAGTAGAGTAAAGACAGCCTCTTTAATAAATGTTGTTGGGAAAATTGGACAGCTACATGAAAAAAAATGAAACTAGACCATCAACTTACACCATACACAAAACTAAACTCAAAATGGATAAAAGACTTAAATGTGACCCATGAATCCATAAAAATCCTAGAAGAAACTGTAGGCTACAAAATTTCATACATCAGACGTGGCAGAATTTTCACTGATACATCTCCTAAGGCAATAGAAACAAAGGAGAAAATGAACACATGGGACTACATCAAACTCAAAAGCTTCTGCATAGTAAAAGATATAATCATCAAAACGGAAAGGCTACCCACTGTATGGGAGAGCATAATTGCCAATGATAATCAGATAAGGGGTTAATTTCCAATATATATAGAGTGCTCATACAACTCAACAAAAGGAAGACAAAGAACCCAATTAAAAAATGGGCAGAGGAGCTGAATAGACACCTCTCCAAACACGGCTAAGAGACATATGAAGAAATGCTCAACATCACTAATCATCAAAGAGATGCAAATTAAAACAACAATGAGGTATCACCTCACACCTGTCAGAATGGCCGCCATCAACAAATCATCAAACAACAAGTGTTGGCGAGGGTGTGGAGGAAAGGGGACTCTAGTATACTGCTGGTGCAAATGCAGACTAGAGCAGCCACTATGGAAAACAATATGGTGTTACCTCAAAAAATTAAAAATTGAACTCCATTTGACCCAGTGATACCACTTCTAGGAATATATTCTAGGAAGCCTGAAACACCAATCAGAAAAAATATATGTACCCCCATGTTCATAGCAGCACTATTTAAAATAGCTAGGATCTGGAAACAGCCCAAGTGTCCATCAGTAGACGAATGGATAAAAAAGCAGTGGTACGTGTACACAATGGAGTACTATGCAGCTGTAAGAAAGAAAGATCTCTTATCCTTTGAGACTACATGGAGGGACCTGGAAAGTATTATCCTAAGCGAAACAAGCCAAACAGAGAAAGACAAGTATCATATGATCTCACTTAATTGTGGAATATAATGAACATAAGAGTCTGAGGAATGGGTTCGTCCCAGAGATGTGGCAGTGGGGTACTGACTGACAATCCCCAGAAGAGGGGTGGTGGGGGAGAGATAAACTACAGAACTTATATGCATGTATGCATGAACATTGGACATGGACAACAAAGCTGGGGACAGGGCAGGGAGGGGGGGGATCAGTGGGGGAAAAGTGAGAAACATCTCTAACAAAAATAAATTAATTAATAAAAAATTCTATATTTACCTATATTGATAATTTTGACAGTAGTTCAAGGTAAGTTGCATTTAATTAATGGTAAATTGCATTTAATTTTTGGAAAATGTCAGTATATAAATAAATTTGTTTTTCTTGTCTAAGGACAGTATACTATAACATCAAAACATCTGCTGATAAATTCATGGTCCTTTGTTTTTATTTTAAATATTTGCAATAAAATAATCTGAATCCTTAGAATAGCTTCATAAAACATAAACTTTTCGGGAGCAATAAATCAGAGAACAAAAATGAGTATAAAACTTATTTTCTTATGTTCAGGCAAAATTAAGGGAATAAAAACTCCAGAGAATGGTTAAAAACCTGGCACCTTAAACAAGGAACTATTTTTAGTCTGGTTGATACCTCCGAGATTGTTTTGTCAGTAAGTGAATGGCTCTAAGTCCCCTTTACTATTCAATACTAATAAATTAACCCAAGAGAGTGTGATTCCTGATAAAATCTTTTCAGTCAAACTATGTATGCACACACACAAAAAAACCATTTCAAATTGTCTAGAAAAATGAGTAATATTGACATATTTGGGCATTAAGTTTGGCTATAAGCTAACAAAGTGAGAGAATGGCAGTAATTTGGTAGTTTAAAGAAAAAGTTGTCTGCCTTGCCTGATATTTTAGCAAAATACCCAATTTTGTAGTGTAACAAGTAAGCATAGTGCTCTGAATCAAACAGACACCTTACAAAATAGTGTTCACATGGGTTTCTCACTTTTTTTTAATGCTTTCATTGCATCATTTTCCTGTTGATGTTGATATTCATCCTGAAACGATATCTGATCTGTTGCTGTTAGTTCTTTGGCATGTTTGAACTCAGCAGAAGCACTCTTTCCTGGGCTTCACTGCTTCCTCAGAAGAATGCACAGTATTCGGAACAAAACCACTTTTAACTCCTTCCCAGCCATCCTGAATACAAATCTCTCCCCTTTTGATAAGTTCATATATGTCTCTTGTCAAGATAGTGAAGGATTCCTCAACATTTGTAGCATCTTTTGCTGAGGTTTCTATATACTTCATGCCACAGTCTGCTGACAGTTTTTCAGCTTCTTCCCTTGTAACTTGACGTTGTGAAGCTAAATCACATTTGTGTCCCACTAGCAGAAATACAATCCGAAATGGTTGTACGTACATTTTTGCTTCTTCCAGCCAATCTTTCACATGTTCAAAAGATTGTCGGTTAGTAATGTCAAATACTAAAAATCCACCAACTGAGTTTCGGTAATAAGATCGAGTTATTGATCTGAAAAATAAGTAGAAAGAAAGGTTGTAAAAGGACAAGTTGTTCTTATTCCTCCTTTTCAAACCCCGTAGCACCATAATAAAATTTGAAGATACCTTAATGTGATTGAACTAGAATTTATAAAATAAGTATAAAGTGTCTTAAGTAAACAAAAATATTCTGTGAAACTAATTTGCAAGCCAGTTTCAATCACTAACAAGTTATTTTTAGATAGACAAATAAGCACTTATATGGTATGTCATCTTGCTGTATTTTAGGATTATTTTTTAAGTATCTGAAAGAATAATTATTGCATCAGTGTAGTTAAAAATAGGCACGCAGAGCCCTGTCTGTGTGGCTCAGTGGATTGAGTGTTGTCCCATGGATTGAGAAGTCCCAGGTGGATTGATTCCAGGTCAGGGCACATGCCTGGGTTTCCGGGCTGGATACCCGGTAAGGGGCGTGCAGGAGGCAGCCCATCGATATTTCTCACATCCACATTTCTATCTCTAAAAAAATCAATAAAAACATATTTTTAAAAAAATAGGCACACAGGAAGATTTGGTGAAGGGCCGAGGTTGCTAGCAAGCCAGATCTTAAGAATCTCTCCCAGTCATTTAACCCCTTTCCATCAGTGAAGTAAGAAACAAGAGCAAATTTGTTAAAATGTTACTTACAGGTATAGTCCTATGCTATACCTATTCAAGAAACAAAAAGTTGTTTGGCCCTGGCCAATTTGGCTCAGTGGTTGGAGCATCGACCTGCAGAGCAGAGAGTTGCGGGTTTGATTCCTGCTAGGGGCACTTACCAAAAAAAAAAAATTATTGTTTGGATGTGAGATGAGATATGCTAATGATTTTTTGCCTCTCCAGATCTAGTCTCTCCTTTCTGGGCCACAAGAAGCTGACCCTTTCAGAAAGCTTTCCCAGACTCCCTTGCCATCTGATTTGCAGTGGGGGTTAGCCAATGGGAGGTGCCTGCTGGAGACTGGAAGAAAGGGAGGACAGGTATTGACACCTCCCAGCCTCCACTGGGGCTGTGACTTGGCAGTGGTTGTATTCTTCAGCTTCTGGTCAAGGTCCTGCTGGGTCATTCCACTCCCATGGCTATGCTTTTCACCAGGTTCTGGTGATTTCATCCCTTTCCCTTGGCCCTCTGGCCAGGTGCTTAGTGACTTTGCACTGTTGCTATCCTTGAATAGCTTCACCATCCTTTGTTTGTGTCCTTGACCTTTCTGACATTTCTGTAAATTGTTACTTAATTAGACACTTTTCAGTTAACTTTTCAAGTGTGTTATTTGTTTCTGACTGAATCATGAGGCAAGGTGGCAAGACCATATACTGTTTTATATTTGTTGCCTTTACATATGTTGTTTTCTGTACCTAGAATGTCTTCTATCCTTTTTTACCTAGAAAACTTCCATTTCTCTTTCACCAGATCAAAAATCATATATATGAGAAGGCTTCCCTGCCATTGACCTCTCTCCCTCCACCTCTTAGGCATTCCTCTTATATTGCATTAGACCTTTAGCATACTGCCATTATAATTTTTATATCAATTTTCATAATGTTCTGATTGGAGTTGCTGGTATGCCTCCCACTAAATTTAAGACTTCTTGAGGGTCAAATATTTTTCATTTATGTATCTAACAATCTTATTACCTGGCAAATAACAGATCACTTAATGTTTGTTATACTGGGTTAATTAATTTTATTGGAGGAAAACCGCTAAGTGTTATATGAACCAGAGATTTTGTGTATCTCAGTTTCCAAGTTGTCAGTGATTTTGAGCATTGAGATCATCCATAAGCAAACTCATCTGTTACTTGCTAATGCATGAGAGATTTTTGTGGAGGACCACTGGGTTATTTGGTACTCTCAACTTCTGCATACCTTCATTATCCTTATTGTTAAAATTAGAGCTCAGTTCTGTGACCTGATACCACAAGTACCATTTGTTGTGGGAGTGTGAAGAAAGTATTTTACCTCCCTTTTCTTGCCATTTCTTCTGCTTTCCTATTTCTCCTCAGAATTCCCACCAGAGATATTCTCAAGTGATTATATATTTAAAAAATTTTTCTCAGTGACTACTGCATTATAGAGCCATTAACAATATAAAAAAACCTACCACTATCTTTAGCAGGTGACAAATAATGCAGTTCATTTAAGTAGTTTTTTTTTTTTTTTTTTAAATTGAGGGATAATTAATTTGTTATTGTTTTGCTACTCATCTTTTAAAAATTATCTTTATTGTTAAGAGTATTATAGATGTTCCTCCTTTTTTCCCTCTACTGACACCCCCCCCACTCCCGCTGCTACTACTCATGGTTTTTTTTTTTTTTATCCTCACCCGAGGGTATTTTTACATTTATCTTCAGATAGAGTGGGAGGGAGGGGGAGAAAGAGAGTGAAACATCCATGTGAGAGAGACACATCTATTGGTTGCTATCCGCACGACCCCAACTAGGGCTGGGGATGAACCGGAACTGAGGTAAGTGCCCTTGGCCGGAATTGAACCTGGGACACCTTGGTTTGCAGGCTGACGCTCTAACCACTGACCAAAACCAGCCAGGGCACTACTCATCTTTATATGTGTGAATTTAGGCAGATGTACAATGCCTTAAGAGAAACCTAACTAAGGTTATGTTATTAAATTGAAAGCTTTAATTTGTTTAGTACCAAGTCTGCATTACTTTTGTTCCCCATCCTACTTAATTTACCATCAGTATAATTTTTAAAAACATGCTTTTGCCCTGGCTGGTGTGGCTCAGTTGGTTGGAGCATTAGCCTATATATAAAAAGGTGGTGGGTTCAATTCCTGGTCAGGGTATATACCCAGGTAGCAGGTTTGATCCTTGGTTGGGCATATACAAGAGGCAACTGATCAATGTTTCTCTCATCCTCTCCCTTCTTCTCTCTAAATCAGTTAAGAAATATATCCTCAGGTAAGGATAAAACAGACAAACATGATTTTATGTTTTAAAACTCAACACTGAAATGCAAGTATATTAGGCAGAGGCATGTCTTACACTGTAGGAAATACCATTTTCTTGTACCTTGCATTTAATTTTGAAAACCTTTGGAATACAGTTGGCAAATAATTCTATAACATAAGATTATAGCAAACTATATGCAACTATGCTATAGAACAGCCCCTTATTAATGATTAGTTAAAATATAGGGTCTCAATATGACATCTGCCATTTTATATACAAGAAGTTGGTCTCCAGTTTCCTTGTTCGGGTACAGATATTAGGTTTACAATTCTAGGATGGTTAGGATTCAGATTCAGATATAGTTGTCCTGGGGGTAGGATTTCCTTAAAACAATTGGGCATCTCTGCCAATAATCATCCAGGACAGTAATTTTCAATCTTTTTTTAATCTCATGGCACACATAAATTAATTACTAAAATTCTGTGGCACATCAAAAAATACATTTTTTGCTGATCTGACAAAAAAGAAAAAAAGGTAAAATTTTGATTGATTCACACCGAATGGCTATTGTTGTGTTGGCTGTGGTCATTTTTTTATTTGACAATCTAAGGGACAAGAGGTCAGTGCCCTTGACTAAATAGTCAGGTACTTCATGTTTAAAAAATTCTTGCAGCATCCTGGTTGAAGACCACCGATTTAGGGGAAGAAAGAGGCCCTGAGACTGAAAATTGGAACTTGAAAAGGGGCTCTTACAGAGAGAGAGCATCTGTCTTTCTTTGGATCTCCTCTTGAGTCAAGACACTTAGATCTCTAGAAGTTCTTGAAGGTATTATAAAAAGTAGGGAACAAATACTAAAAGAACCAGGTATTTAGGGCTCCCTGTAAAGAATGCAAGAATTGATGATGAGTAACAATTCTTTATAAGCAATGACATCTTGTTGCATGTTACTTTATATCTATTTCCTTCTGGGCTTTGAAAAGTCTCATTAAATGAATGGATAATTTTTTTTTTTTTTTTTTTTATCCTCACCCGAGGACTTTTTTCCATTTTTTGTACAGATAGAGTGGGAGGGAGAGAGAGAGGGAAACATTGATGTGAAAGGGTCACATCGAGTGGCTGCCACCTGCACGACCAACCAGGGCCGGGGACAAACCGCAACCGAGGTATGCGCCCCTAGCGGGAACCGAACCCGGGTCTCTCCAGACCGCAGGCGGACGCTCCAACTGCTGAGCCAAACCGGCCAGGGCTGAATGGATAATTTAAAAAAAGGGAAAAAATAGGGAAGAAGAGAAGGGAGAAAAAAATGAATGGATTACAATCTGGTCTCAGGTATGTTATGGGAGTACAGTTATGAAACTACACCCTGGCAATACTGGTAAAGGGGATACAGCACCCTCTGAACTCAGTGTAATGGTGGTATGATGGGGAAGGTGAATTATGAAGGGAAAGGGGTCAGGGTTATGAGCTGTTAGCCACACTTTGTCCCTCTGAAGTGGAAGATCTGATTTTGATTATATCTGTTGTTTTTCTTTTTATCCTCACCCAAGGATTTTTGCATTTATCTTCAGATAGAGCAGGAAGGAGAGAGGGGGGAAGAGAAAGAGAATCATCAATGCGAGAGAGACACATCGACTGGTTGTCACTCACACTACCCCAACTGGGGAGGGGACAAACCGCACCTAGGTATGTGCCCTTTGTGGGACTCTCTGGACCACAGGCTGATGCTCTAACCACTGAGCAAAACCGGCCAGGGCTGATTATATGTGTTAAAAAAAACCCTACTTGTTCTTTTATACTGAGAAAGTTACACTATTAGCAACTACTATCCCATTTTTAAAGAATAGTCATCTCTTAGAATGTTTTCTCCTCCTCTTTGCCTTGACTAAAACCAGTTTGTCCCTGAGAACACAGCTTTCACTGCGGCATGCTCATATTGCTCATTCTGTAAGCTCAGAATAAGGTGGCATTTGTCTCCCCAGTGCCACTTCCAGATAATTATTCTCTCCCAACCTTGTAAAAAAAAAAAAAAAAAAAAATCCCCTGCTCCTTTGTGGCTATGCCATCTGGCTCATCTACTGTCATCTG